GAGTTATTTTTGGCTAAAGGTGATTTACTGTTGTGGATCCCCAAGCACAAATAGCACAGGTGAGGTAGGGGGTAGATCAGTGAATACTATAATGTAAGTAGTGCTGTTGGTAGTAAGCAATAACATATCCCTGAGAGGATGCCAACTGTTTTGGATACTTTGTATGCTGAATATAGGTGTTGGATATGACTGACTATAATATAGATTTCAGTAACTGAAAACTAGTGTTCAAATCTGATAACTATATAGAAAGATGTATTATTGAATCAAGCCTTATTGCATCAGTTCAAAATTTTAATTTACCTGAAGGACAATTTAAATTTAACTCTTTTGCTGTCTCCAGTATAGATCTACGTACATTACTGACACCACTTTACTCATGAAGATCTATGTGATCAGTGATCAGTAAACTTTGGCCTAGACATAAAAGAATGAATTTGTGCAGTGAGTGTGCACAGTATAAGAAGAATTCTGCCCACATGCAGTGATTGAAGGGGAAAAGCAGACTTCTGACCCTGTGTTTGGCATATTACAATTATTAGGTGTTTTCTAGGGTGGTTTTATTGGCAATTTCTTGGAAGACGTGTAGACAGTCTGTACTGTCTGCACAGACAGTAGTAAATGCTATCTGCCAGCTTAGTTCATATTTCGTGGCACTAAGGTGCTGCCCTCTGGGCCTGCTCCAGGTCTGTGGGAAGCTGGTCCCACACTCTCTCACTCTCACAGCAGCCTAGCAGCAAGACAGAAGGCCTACTAGCTCTCTCCTCTCGTGGGATGGCCCTACCCGGGCCATGGGCACAAACACACAAGTCTGTGTACCCACCATGACTTTGCAAATAAAGTAAAGAAGCCTCGGGAAGACATTTATCATTCACGCACCCACTTTCATCGTACGAAATAATCCGTTATAAATGGTGGGAAGCGGTGGTCGCAGCAGTTGTGTTTGCCCGGAGAGAGGAAGGGATGAGGTCATCTTCACTTCATCACCCCATGCAAGAAGCATCCGTCTCTCAACGAGTTATCCTGATGTCGTTTCCGCACGTTTCAGCATCCAGACACAGGTACAAGCAGGATCCAGCCAAAATTTACCGAATTTCTTCGAGAATTGTAAGTGGCGTCCCAGTGACCCCACGCTACAGCGTCCCACGCTGTTTCTCATGTCACGTGTTCAGCGTCACTTGTATGTTGCTGTTGTTGTTCAGCTCAGCACAGCTGTTTCAGCAAGCCAGAGGTGAGTTTTGTGGTGATTTCTGCATCCAGTGTGAGTTTCTCCATGTGTTTGTAGGAGGGAGAGGAAGTGGCCGTTTCCTCGCCTCACCCACGCTCGCCCTACTCACACCTCACCAGCCTACCACCACTATGTGCATCACTCCCTCTGCTGTGTTTTCTGCTGTTTTTTGTGTGAATTCATTGCCAGTGCTGTGTATCCGAGTGCCCGAGGCTACTCGAAGCTACGTGGATCAGCATGCCAAGTAGATCAGCAAGCCACGTGGATCTGCAAGCCATGTGGATCAGCAAGCCACGCAGATCAGCAAGCCACATGGATCAGCAAGCCATGTGGATCAGCATACCATGTAGATCAGCAAGCCACATGGATCAGCATGCCATGTGGATCAGCAAGCCATGTGGATCAACATGCCACATGGATCAGCAAGCCATGCGGAACTGCAAGCCATGCGGAACTGCAAGCCATGTGGATCAGCAAGCCACGCGGATCAGCAAGCCATGTGGATCAGCAAGCCATGTGGATCAGCATGCAACGTAGATTACGACACCACGTGGACACGACGGGATCACGACGCCACGTGGGGTGTGGACGAAGCCACGTGGATCTGCAAGCCACGTGAGTTGCCAGATGTCCCAGGCCACATGCTGTGGTCTGCTGCCCGCATCACATTGACGTCACCGACGATGCTGCCCGACTTCATGAGGTCACGATGTCTGCTGACATCACCTCGTGACGTCACGCTTGACATCACATGATGTCACATTGAGTGTTCTAGTAATTATTTCAGTATTGTCGAGAAGATTGAGAGAATATATGTGTCATGTGTTAATCAGTTCCTCTCAGTCAGTGTTCTCACATGTTAGTGTATAGCTTAGTGTCAGTTTTGTGCACAGAAAAGCATCATTTGCTAGTTAAGCCATGTTGTACTGCATGTACCGCGGGTGTGTAAAGTTTTCCGTGTGTCCAGTGAGGTCTGAGCCAGACCCTTGTTAAGTCACCCGGTGTGACCAGTGCGTTTGACAGCTGTTATCAGTCAGCCTGAGCCCGAGCCTCTTGTACAGAAAGCTCTTATGCTCGTCGCTCGTGATGTTCTGCAGAATCGTACCTGCTACGATTCCCATCGAGATTTGTTTCACTTCACCTCCAGACCTTCAGAGAGCAGTTATATGTAGAGAAACAAGTCTGGGGATGCTTAGACTAACCTCTGCTATAACTCCAACTGCCGAGAGAATGACACTCGTCAAGCCGCAGTTAGCCCTGTCGGCAGGCGCTGTGTCAGCCTCGTGTCACAAGCTTCAGTGAGCTCCTGCACAAAGAAGATGTCGCTTTGACTGCTAGCTCGCTCACTGCAGTCTGGTGTATGATGTTACGACTCCCAGATGTTTCGCCCAGTCGTCTCTGCCACGACTCGCTCCACGCTCGCCGGCAGTGACAGCCCAGCGACAGTACCAGTCGAGAAGTGTCCTCCCGAGTCGCTTGCCAGAAGTCCTGCCCAGTTGCCAAGTTTTGTCGACGCCTCACTCGAGGGCACCAGCATGTCATGCCCCAGGTTGAGTGAAAAGCTGCAGCAACTCCTACAATGACTGTTTCACCATTCTAGAGGAGACCGTACCCTGTTACATCACACCTCAGCTGCAGCTATGTCTCCTGTGTTGCAGTATCTGTCCAGATGCAGGAAAGCGTGCAGTGATGCCCTTCGACGCTCACTGCCTATGACCACAATGTTTAGCACGCCCCACATGTTTTTTTCTTCCCTCCCTGTAGGAAGTTTTTTTTTCCATGTCCATATGTATACATGTATACATGTTTTTTATTTTGTGTTCTGTGCCCTGTTCCTACGAGAGAGAGACCGAGTTTTTTTTACCGCCAGACATGGTCGGGACAACCATGTGGCAGGTGGCCGAGCGTATGTAGACAGCCTGTACTGTCTGCACAGACAGCCTTGCTGTCTGCCAGCTTAGTTCATATTTCGCACCACTCAGGTGCTGCCCTCTGGGCCTGCTCCAGGTCTGTGGGAAGCTGGTCCCACACGCTCACTCACTCTCTCAGCGGTCTGGCAGCAAGACAGCAGGCTTAGTAGCTCTCTCCCTCGTGGGATGGCCCTACCCGGGCCATGGGCACAAACACACAAGCCTGTGTACCCACCACGACTTTGCAAATAAAGTAAAGAAGCCTCGGGAAGACGTTTATCATTCACGCACCCGCTTTCATTGTACGAAATAATCCGTTATAGACGTACTAATGAATGGAAGACGTACTAGTGAAATGGAGATGATTTAGCTAGTTTCAGAAAGAAAGTAGCTTGAAACTGTGGCAGAAATATTCAATTTTTGCTGATTTTCCTGAGGACAGGTCAGCCTCCCCATACCCTCCCTACCTCTCCAGTCTGTTTTATGAGTTTTCACTAAGTCTGTTTCAATTATTGGGACAGCCTAAACCATGATCAATCATTCTTGGTTATATTTTATTATTCGAATGAGGTAAATCTTCGGCTATTGTGACAGATTCAAAATGGAAGGCAAGCGTTACATAGAGGCCAGGGAATGCGATTAACAGAAGGGGGGTTGCTTTAGTCACTAGAATGCCTACATTGATTATTTTGGACACAAATTGTAATTTTTTTTTTAATTTTGAGTAAATTTGGTTAGACTTCTGTTCATATTATAGTGTGGTATTGATAGATAAATGGGCATTTCTTGTGCTCAACTGATAGAACAGAAGGTATACCGGCAAAATTTTTCTATCAAATTTTGCATTATTGGTGTCATTACTTTCAGAAAATGATTCACTACCAATTCAGAAGATAAAATTACTAATATTTTAAAATTATGAATTATTAATACAATGTCAGCACTTTTAATTTTAGAGTTTATGAAGGAGAAAGGGTCACCCAGTCAATTATCAAATTAATAAATGATCTGATAAAGTTGCAAAAAGTAATTAGAACAATTACTGTCAAACTCTTAAGGGGTCACCTCAAACTAAGTCAGGTGTTACCCACTCACGGTCAAGTCAATGAATGTCAGGTCATTGAGGCTTTGTAGTCATTATTTAAGTAGGCTTGCTTACACCTGTCAGCCACAATGGCTGTGACTCAGCATGAACTTGTATTGATAAGTTCGTGATTTATAACGTAACATGGTGAACAATTTTTTTTTTCACTACAATGAAATGGGTGTTAAAACTTTGATACATGCCAGTGCTTCTTTTGGAGCTAATAACAAGTCTATGTCAGTAACAAGTACAGTACCTGGGACTTGCAGAAAAAACACACAACACATTTTTTTTTTTTTTAACAAGTCGGCCGTCTCCCACCGAGGCAAACATTAAATATGATGGTTCACCTACAAAAAGCTTTATAAAGTTCAGCTTTTGCTGTGTCTTTTTCAGTACTGTACTTGTTAGTGTACCACCTCACTCCAACTATGATGGGTTGCATAATGTCATCTTATAAGTGTTAACATCTGCAAAGTCAATTACCCACCAAGTTATACCTTATAAATAATTATATACCCATGGAAGAGAAGGTCTGACTCATTATATATCACAAGCTAATTATTGACATGAAAATGTGACATGTTATAATAACTTAACCTAGAATATTCCTACTAAACACTGACTGCTCATTTCCTCCACTCACTGTCCTTGTGAAGGGCTCTTGATCCACGAAATTGGAGCTACTCTCCCTTTCCTTGGATTGAATATGATTACTACCTCCATTACCTGCAATCCTTCCCTAAGAAAGAGTATCTAATGTAATTGTGAACATTACCTGATAGTGGCAAACACACGGATTTGAGAAGTCCCGGCCACCATCTCCACACCGGGCCACTCCACGTGTGGGCAAATGATGCGTTACATCACTTACTAGTGACCAATCTCCATCAAGTTCTGAAATTCAGACAAAATATGGAGAAATAATTAGTACATTATTTCCCAGATTCGAGTCCTAGAGGTGAGAAGTACGATACCTGCACTCTACAAGATGGGTGAAGATACGCATATGATTCACAGAGTAACTTGAAGTGTGATCTCCATACACTTCTGACTAGATCTACAGCTACTGAACGAGTGATGGTGAATGCTTCCTTCTTTGATTCATCCTATACTGGTAAAAAATAATTTCCAATGCAGTAAAAAATAATTTGACAATTTCATTGTAATCTTATTTACAATATCACTACTGGTCACTAATATTTCATTTTGCTATCTCTCTAAGATGATTTTCCCTTGTTCAAACACCTTACATTACCTATTTAAAAAAATTTCCGTGTATCTTATTTTCATCTCCATTCTGACTCCTCTTTCTTTTCATTTTTCTTTTCAATACTATACAATTTTTCTTCATTATTATGACTACATTTTCTTAGAAAGCATCAAACCCACAAGGATTATACTGTTCCTAGGAATAAAAATGGATGGGGTGATCAGGTTTGATCTCAGAAAGGATAGGGTAGCATCAGTGTTTTGGAAATAAAGACACTGGAAGCAGGGAATCCTTTTATTACTGCAGTTCACCCAAAGTTGGGTTTTATCCTGTCAGTGACTTTATTTCCAATCAATACCATCCTGCCAAGTGAGTGTAAAACGAAAGCCTGTAATTGTTTTACATGATAGTAGGATTGCTGGTGTCTTTTGTCTGTCTCAAATAAGCAAGATTACAGGTATGTCTTGCTACTTCTACTTACACTTAGGTCACACTACACATACATGTACACGTTTATTTTATACACACTCGTCTGAGTTTTCTTTGATTTTATCTTAATAGTTCTTGGTCTTATTACTTTTCCTTTTATATCCATGGGGAAGTGGAATAAGAATCTTTCCTCCGTAAGCCATGTGTGTTGTAAAAGTCAACTAAAATGCTGGGAACAATGGGCTAGTAACCCCTTTTCCTGTAAAGATTACTAAAAAGAATAAGAAGAAAATTGTCAAAGTGGGAAGTCTGAATGTGCGTGGATGTTGTGCAAATGATAAGAAAGAGATGATAGTGGATGTTATGGATGAGAAGAAGCTGGATGTCCTGGCTTTAAGTGAAACAAAGCTGAAGGGGGTGGGAGTTTCAATGGAGAAGAATAAATGGGATTAGGTCAGGGGTTTCAAATAGAGTTAGAGCTAAAGAAGGAGTCGCAATAATGTTGAAGGATAAGCTATGGCAGGAAAGAGGGACTATAAATGTATTAATTCAAGGATTATGTGGAGTAAAATAAAGATTGGATGTGAAAAGTGGGTTATAGTAAGCGTGTATGCACCTGGAGAAGAGAGAAGTGTAGAGGAGAGAGAGAGATTTTGGGAAATGTTGAGTGAATGCGTGGGGAGTTTTAAATCAAGTGTGAGAGTAATGGTGGTTGGGGATTTCAATGCTAAAGTGGGTAAAAATGTTATGGAGGGAGTAGTAGGTAAATTTGGGGTGCCAGGGGTAAATGTAAATGGGGAGCCTTTAATTGAGCTATGTGTAGAAAGAGATTTGGTAATAAGTAATACATATTTTATGAAAAAGAGGATAAATAAATATTCAAGGTATGATGTAGCACGTAATGAAAGTAGTTTGTTAAATTATGTATTTTTATTTTTTATTTTATTATCACACTGGCCGATTCCCACCAAGGCAGGGTGGCCCGAAAAAGAAAAACTTTCACCATCATTCACTCCATCACGGTCTTGCCAGAAGGGTGCTTTACACTACAGTTTTTAAACTGCAACATTAACACCCCTCCTTCAGAGTGCAGGCACTGTACTTCCCATCTCCAGGACTCAAGTCCGGCCTGCCGGTTTCCCTGAACCCCTTCATAAATGTTACTTTGCTCACACTCCAACAGCATGTCAAGTATTAAAAACCATTTGTTTCCATTCACTCCTATCAAACACGCTCATGCATGCCTGCTGGAAGTCCAAGCCCCTCGCACACAAAACCTCCTTTACCCCCTCTCTCCAACCTTTCCTAGGCCGACCCCTACCCCACCTTCCTTCCACTACAGACTGATACACTCTTGAAGTTATTCTGTTTCGCTCCATTCTCTCTACATGTCCGAATCACCTCAACAACCCTTCCTCAGCCCTCTGGACAACAGTTTTGGTAATCCCGCACCTCCTCCTAACTTCCAAACTACGAATTCTCTGCATTATATTCACACCACACATTGCCCTCAGACATGACATCTCCACTGCCTCCAGCCTTCTTCTCGCTGCAACATTCATCACCCATGCTTCACACCCATATAAGAGCGTTGGTAAAACTATACTCTCATACATTCCCCTCTTTGCCTCCAAGGACAAAGTTCTTTGTCTCCACAGACTCCTAAGTGCACCACTCACTCTTTTCCCCTCATCAATTCTATGATTCACCTCATCTTTCATAGACCCATTGTTATGGGGCTATAGGACCCAACATGTATTTATAAGTAACAGTTACTCTGGAATACCTAATTATATTGAATTGATGGGGACTCAGTTCTAAATGTCATAAGGGCTGATCAACCTTATGACTGAGAGGCAGCTGGGTCAAGCCTATTTTTCTCAATATAATAGGTTATACTATAGACACATAAACACACAATTTAAATAAGTAGTTTATAAAGTTGTATTTCTTTTTGTAAAAGTAAAATTAAGGGTGGTAGAATTGTGGTAACTGGAGAATTGTGCTTGGCAACAGTCTTTTGTTTTGGTGGGAGGAGCTTAGCTAGTCTTTCTCTCTCTCCCTCTCACTGAGGCTCTCTCTCTGTGGCTGACCTTCAACCTGGCAGGATCTCTGGGTCCTTCTTCTATCTTTTGGGGCATTATGTATGCTCCAGGGGTGAGTTTTTATAATTTAAGTTGTGGCCACCATACCCAGGGTGACTAAAGTGTGTCAAAACACTGGTTAGCCCAGAATTATGTCAAGAAGAGAGAAGGACAAAAGTTGTTGGAAAACACCATGTGGAGAACAGCTATGGAGTGTGTAGATCTTTGTTTTTAAAGTGTGAGGCTGTAATTGTATATTCTGTACATATCTATTGAGAATACAGTTATATTTTTATAGTAGTAGTTTACATAACCTGTGAAGAGGGCTGGTGAGAGGATATCAGACACTGAGGATGATCAGCCATGATGTAAGTATTACCCCTAGACAGATAAGGCTATTAAGTAAAAGGCTACCCCACACTAGAACATGTAGTGAGAACCTTACTATCAAAGTAATAAGGGACAAACCAACGTAACACCCATCCGCTGACACGTCCACTCCCAAATATCTGAATACATTCACCTCCTCCATACTCTCTCCCTCCAATCTGATATTCAATCTTTCATCACCTAATCTTTTTGTTATCCTCATAACCTTACTCTTTCCTGTATTCAACTTTAATTTTCTTCTTTTGCACACCCTACCAAATTCATCCACCAATCTCTGCAACTTCTCTTCAGAATCTCCCAAGAGCACAGTGTCATCAGCAAAGAGCAGCTGTGACAACTCCCACTTTGTGTGTGATTCTTTATCCTTTAACTCCACGCCTCTTGCCAAGACCCTCGCATTTACTTCTCTTACAACCCCATCTATAAATATATTAAACAACCACGGTGACATCACACATCCTTGTCTAAGGCCTACTTTTACTGGGAAATAATTTCCCTCTTTCCTAAATACTCTAACTTGAGCCTCACTATTGGTGGATAAAAGGTTGATGGGTAGGCTCCAGGATGTACATGTTTATAGAGGGGCAACTGATATATCGGATCACTATTTAGTTGTAGCTACAGTTAGAGTAAGAGGTAGATGGGAAAAGAGGAAGGTGGCAACAACAAGTAAAAGGGAGGTGAAAGTGTATAAACTAAGGGAGGAGGAAGTTAGGGTGAGATATAAGCGACTATTGGCAGAAAGGTGGGCTAGTGCAAAGATGAGTAGTGGGGGGGGGGTTGAAGAGGGTTGGAATAGTTTTAAAAATGCAGTATTAGAATGTGGGGCAGAAGTTTGTGGTTATAGGAGGGTGGGGGCAGGAGGAAAGAGGAGTGATTGGTGGAATGATGAAGTAAAGGGTGCGATAAAAGAGAAAAAGTTAGCTTACGAGAGGTTTTTACAAAGCAGAAGTGTTATAAGAAGAGCAGAGTATATGGAGAGTAAAAGAAAGGAGAAGAGAGTGGTGAGAGAGTGCAAAAGGAGAGCAGATGATAGAGTGGGAGAGGCATTGTCAAGAAATTTTAATGAAAATAAGAAAAAATTTTGGAGTGAGTTAAACAAGTTAAGAAAGCCTAGGGAAAGTATGGATTTGCCAATTAAAAACAGAGTAGGGGAGTTAGATGGAAAGATGGAGGTATTAGGTAGATGGTGAGAATATTTTGAGAAACTTTTAAATGTTAAGGAAGAAAGGGAGGCGGTAATTTCATGCACTGGTCAGGGAGGTATACCATCTTTTAGGAGTGAAGAAGAGCAGAATGTAAGTGTGGGGGAGGTACGTGAGGCATTACGTAGAATGAAAGGGGGGTAAAGCAGCTGGAACTGATGGGATCATGACAGAAATGTTAAAAGCAGGGGGGATATAATGTTGGAGTGGTTGGTACTTTTGTTTAATAAAGGTATGAAAGAGGGGAAGGTACTACCTAGGGATTGGCAGAGAGCATGTATAGTCCCTTTATATAAAAGGAAAGGGGACAAAAGAGATTGTAAAAATTATAGAGGAATAAGTTTACTGAGTATACCAGGAAAAGTGTACGGTAGGGTTATAATTGAAAGAATTAGAGGTAAGACAGAATGTAGGATTGCGGATGAGCAAGGAGGTTTCAGAGTGGGTAGGGGATGTGTAGATAAAGTGTTTACATTGAAGCATATATGTGAACAGTATTTAGATAAAGGTAAGGAAGCCTTTATTGCATTTATGGATTTAGAAAAGGCATATGACAGAGTGGATAGAGGAGCAATGTGGCAGATGTTGCAAGTACAGTGGCCCCCGATAACATTACCTCCGATGCGCCCAATTTGTAAGTGTTTTTATGTAAGTGCATTGTACTGTTTTTGGGGGTCTAAAATGGACTAATTTTTACTTCACAAATTTTTATGGGAACAAATTCGGTCAGTAGGGCCCCCTAAACATATTCTGGAGTGAAAAATATTTTTAAACCCCGGGGGTCCATGTACATGGAATGGGGGTAAGTTACTAAATGTTGTAAAGAGTTTTTATGAGGAGGGTGGGTCGGTTGGGGTGGTAAAAGGGGGGAGACTACTTCCGTAAAAAGTAGGTTTAGACGGGATGTGTAAGTCACCATGGTTTTTTTTAAAATTATTTATAGAGGGGTTTTAAAAAGGTAAATGGGGGTGTTCGGGGAGGGGGTGGGTTTAAATTATGGGGAATAAATTAAAATGGGAATTGACACGTTTTTTTTTGCTGATGTTTTATTTTGGTTTTATGGGAGTTCTAAAAAAAATTGAAAGGTTTGTGGATGAGTTTGGGAATGTGTGAAAAGGGTAGAAAGTTGAAAGTAAACATAAAAAAAGAGTAAGGTGATGAGGGTATAAAATGTTTTAGATAAAAAAAAATTTGGAATAAAAATTGGGGAGGAGGGTATGGAAGAAGTGAATGTTTTCGTATTTGGGATTAAAGTGTCGGCGGATGGATTTATGAAGGTGAGGTTAATATAGAATTGATGAGGGAAAACAGGTGAGTGGTGCTTTGAGGTTATGTGGAGTTAAAAAACGTTATCTATGGAGGAAAAAAGGGAATGTTGAAAGTATGTAGTCCCAACACTCTTATATGGGTGTAAAGTTGGGTGGTAAATGAGGCGAGGGAGGGTTTGGAGGCAGTGGAGATGTCCTGTTAAGGGGAATATGTGATGTAAATATTATGCAAAAAAAATTTGAAATGTGGGGAAAAAAGGAAAAGGTGTGGAGTTATAAAGTATTAGTCAGAGGGCAGAAGAGGGGGGGTTGAGGTGGTTTGGTCATTTAGAGAGAATGGATCAAATGAATGACTGGAAAGCATATAAATCTATGGGGAGGAAAGGGGAGGTAGGGGTCGTCCTAAAAGGGTTGGAAAGAGGGGTAAAAAGGGGGTTTCGTGGGCAAAAGGGGGTTTGGAAACCCGCAAGCGTGCGTGAGGTGTGTAGGGTAAGGGAGTTTTTTTGGAGACGATCTGTTGGATGTGAGCAGGAAAATTTAGTGAAGGGATCAGGGAAAAAGGTTTTTTCTATTGTCGGCTTGAGTCTGGAAATGGGGAAAAAAAAAATGCCCGCATTTAAAGGAGGGGGTTTGGTATTGGCAGTTTGGAGGGGTATGTTTGGTTCTTTTACGTTAGCTTCTAAATTTTTTGTATTCTGGGCCCCCTCTGCAAAAGCAGTTTTAATTGTGAGTGGGGGTGAAAGTGTTGGGAAAGATGATGAAAGTATTTTCTTTTTGGGGATTTTCTTTCTTTTTTGGGTCACCCTGCCTCGGTGGGAGACGGCTGACTTGTTGAAAAAAAAAAAAAACCTGCATCTTTTGTTATACTGCCTCTGTCATTATTTTGCACATGTCTCCTCACTACACATTTTGTTTTTGTAAACTTTGAATTTATTCAGCTTACTTAGTCTTTCCTGATTTCATCTAACCCCCACCATATAAAGTATCTTATTTTCCATATACACCATCTTATTTCACCCAATATAGCATTTTATCTCACTACATAAAGTACCTCCATCCACCACCTATTATTCTATCTCCTCTGGTATTTTCCAGTACCTTCCTTCACAACAATCACATGTTCTCCACATAATTCTTATCACTGGTCTTGCCTTCATATACTCCAATAGCATATCTCTTGGCTTCCTCGGTAGTAGTGTGGTAGACAGTAACCGCCCAGGGAGGCACGACTGTCCTGCCAAGTGAGTGTAACTGTTTTACATGATGGTAGGATTGCTGGTGTCTTTTTTCTGTCTCATAAACATGCAAGATTTCAGGTACATCTTGCTACTTCTACTTACACTTAGGTCACACTACACAAGCATGTACAAGCACATAAATACACACCCCTCTGGGCTTTCTTCTATTTTCTTACTAATTCTTGTTCTTGTTTATTTCCTTTTATCTCCATGGGGAAGTGGAACAGAATTCTTCCTCTGTAAGCCATGCATGTTGTAAGAGGCGACTAAAATGCCAGGAGCAAGAGGCTAGTAACCTGTTCTCCTGTATACATTACTAAAGTTAAAAAGAGAAACTTTCATTTTTCTTTTTAGGTCACCCTGCCTCGGTAGGATATGGCTGGTTTGTTGAAAGAAAGAAAGAATACTCTCTCCATGTGTATGTAAAGTACAAGATTTAAATTACATCTGAAAATATCTGCCACACACAATGTTTGATAATTCAGTGAGAAAAGTTCATTCTTCTGTGCTCTCAGCTTTTACAAACCATCTTTGCATTTTTTATTATTATTTTTTTTATTAACACACTGGCCGATTCCCGCCAAGGCAGGGTGGCCCAAAAAAGAAAAACTTTCACCATCATTCACTCCATCACTGTCTTGCCAGAAGGGTGCTTTACACTGTAGTTTTTAAACTGCAACATTATCACCCCTCCTTCAGAGTGCAGGCACTGTACTTCCCATCTCCAGGACTCAAGTCCAGCCTGCCGGTTTCCCTGAATCCCTTCATAAATGTTACTTTGCTCACACTCCAACAGCATGTCAAGTATTAAAAACCATTTGTCTCCATTCACTCCTATCAAACACGCTCACGCATGCCCGCTGGAAGTCCAAGCCCCTCGCACACACCCTCTTCCATACATTTATTAAATAATTGCACCAACCACTCCAAAACTATATCCCCACCTGCTTTTAACATTTCTATCTTTATCCCATCAATCCCGGCTGCCTTACCCCCCATCATTTTACCTACTGCCTCGCATTATGTACATATTATAAGTATATCTCTCTTCTCTGTTCCCAACAATTTAAATATTTTACTGATTCTAGGCAAGTAGAAAAATGGCCTCTGTACTTTGGACTGGCAAATTGTACCATCAAATATGATATATACAGTACTGAGTTTTAACATCAAGACAAACTTCTTCAGAATAGAGACATGCTCCAAAAACTGTCTCTGTAGTACATGGTTTAAAACAGAAGGATTCTACCCCAGCCTTACCAGTCCTTCATTCTTGGTATTTTAGTCATGTATAACACAGTTCAGAGGGAAAGGATTCTAACTTGAGCTTTGTATCCCTCTCTGCTATAAAATATTTGCATTTTTTTTTTTGTATTTAGCCTTTAATAAATTAGTTAAGACAAGCTACCCTTCCCTTCTTTAGAACAAACCTGATTACTTTTCTTTTACCAAGGGCTATACCAGTTTAGTGCCTCCTAGTAACACTTTCTGAAACTTACAAGTTGATAAACTGATCCTTATATTCCTCTCTGCTATAAGACAACATTTACCTCTTCTCTGTGTAGCCCATAATTTGATATCTCGATCAGAAGCGTAGGTAGAAGTGGTGGCTAAAGCACACATTTGTGCAATGTGAGGAGAGAGAATGTTGGATCGAGAAACATCCACACTCACATCCAGTTCCACTTCCTCTGTTCCTCGGTCTTCTTCTGGAGTTCGTACAGTGCCAGGATTTTTCTGCAAATATTAATACAAAGGTGGCTTTTTCATCTGGATTATCAGGTAAGTACATAACATTTTAAAATAAAAGCAGTGAGACAAGAAGTGAAGGATTTACTTAGGAAATTGGCTATGAAATTATTTACTGTATTATCATACCACAAAGAATGATGAAAACAGTGTTCTGTACAGTGGACCCCGCTTAACGATCACCTCCCAATGCGACCGATTATGTAAGTGTATTTATGCAAGTGCATTTGTACGTGCATGTTTGGGGGTCTGAAATGGACTAATCTACTTCACAATATTCCTTATGGGAACAAATTCGGTCAGTACTGGCACCTGAACATACTTCTGGAATGAAAAAATATCGTTAACTGGGGGTCCACTGTATACATGAACACAAAAACAAGCACTGTAGTATCTGACCATTTCCATGAACAAGAAACAGTTATAACTTTTGCATCTAAAATAAATTTTTAGCAAAAACAGACAAATTTAAAGGAAAATGACAGACTAAAAATTTAAGTTTATAGCAACCACCCAGGGAGGTACTACCGTACTGCCAAGTGAGTGTAAAAAGGAAGCCTGTATTTGTTTTACATGATGGTAGGATTGCTGGTGTCTTTGTCTCATAAACATGCAAGATTTCAGGTACGTCTTGCTACTTCTACTTTCACTTAGGTCACACGACACATACATGTACACGTTTATGTATACACATTCATCTGAGTTTTCTTTGAATTTTTCTTAATAGTTCTTGTTCTTATTGCTTTTCCTTTTATATCCATAGGGAAGTGGAATAACAATCTTTCCTCTGTAAGCCATGCGTGTTGTAAAGGTCAACTAAAATGCCAGAAACAATGGGCTAGTAACCCATTTTCCCATATAGCCTACTAAAAAGAAAAAGAATAAAACCGTCAAAGTAGGATGTTTGAATGTGTGTGGGTGTTGTGCGAATGATAAGAAAGAGATGATTGTGGATGTTATGAATGAAAAGAAGCTGGATGTCCTGGCTTTAAGTGAAACATAGCTGAAGGGGGTGGGAGAGTTTCAGTGGGAAGAAATAAATGGGATTTGGTCAGGGGTTTCAAATAGGGTTAGAGTTAAAGGAGTAGCAATAATGTTGAAGGAGAAGTTATGGCAGGAAAAGAAGGAATATAAAAGTATAAATTCAAGGATTATGTGGAGTAAAATAAGGGTTGGATGTGAAGTGGGTTATAGTAAGCATTTATGCACCTGGAGAAGAAAGTAGTGTAGAGGAGAGACTGATTTTGGGGAATGCTGAGTGAGTGCATGGAGAGTTTTGAACCTAGTGAGAGAGTACTTGTGGTTGGGGATCTCAATGCTAAAGTGGATAAAAATATTGAGGATGGAGTAGTAGGTAAATTTAGGGTGCCAGGGGTAAACGAAAATGGGGAGCCTTTAATTGAACTATATGTAGAAAGAGGTTTGGTAATAAGTAATATATATTTTATGAAAAAAGAGGATAAATAAGTATACGTACAAGGTATGATATAGTACGTAATGAAAGTAGTTCGTTAAATTATGTATTGGTGGATAACAGGTTGATGGGTAGGCATCAGGATGTACATGTTTATAGAGGGAAAACTGATATATCAGATCATTATTTAGTTGTAGCTACAGTTAGAGTAAGAGGTAGATGGGACAAAAGGAAAATGCCAACAGCAAGTTAGAGAGGTGAAAGTGTATAAACTAAGGGAGGAGGAAGTTAGGGTGTGATATAAGCAACTACTGGCAGAAAGGTGGGCTAGTGCAAATATGAGTAGTGGGGAGGGTTGAATAGTTTTAAAAATGCAGTATTAGAATGTGGGGCAGAAGTTTGTGATTATAGGAGGGTGGGTGCAGGAGCAAAGAGGAGTGATTGGTGGAATGATGAAGTAAAGGGTGTGATAAAAGAGAAAAAGATAGCTTATAAGAGGTTTTTACAAAGCAGAAGTGTTATACGAAGAGCAGAGTACAGTGGTACCCCCGAGTTACGAACTTATTTCATTCCAGAATGCTGTTCAAGTGCCAATACCGAACGAATATGTACCCATAAGGAATAATGTAAATTAGATTAGTCCATTTCAGATCCCCAAAAATAAAAATACACTTATAAAATGCTCTTATACAAACACATTTACATAATTGTTCGAATTGGGAGCAGTTCGAAACTTAGGGTACCACTGTATATGGAGAGTAAAAGAAAGGAGAAGAGAGTGGTGAGAGAGTGCAAAAGGAGAACAAATAATAGAGTGGGACAGGCACTGTCAAGAAATTTTGCAGAAAATAAGAACAAATTTTGGAGTGAGATAAACAAGTTAAGAAAACCTATGGAAAGAATGGATTTGTCAGTTAAAACAGAGTAGGGGAGTTAGTAGATAGTTAGTCGATAGGGAGCTGGAGGTATTGGGTAGATGGCAGGAATATTTTGAGGAACTTTTAAATGTTGATGAAGAAAGCGAGGCAGTAATTTCATGCACTTGGCCAGGGAGGTATAATATCTTTTAGGAGTGAAGAAAGCAGAATGTGAGTGTGGAGGAGGTGCATGAGGCATCATGTAGAATGAAAGGGAGTAAAGCAGCTGGAACTGACGGGATCATGACAGAAATGTTAAAAGCAGGGGGTATACAGTGTTGGAGTGGTTGGTATTTTTGTTTAATAACTGTATGGAAGAGGGGAAGGTACCTAGGGATTGGCAGAGAGCATGTATAGTTCCTTTATATAAAGGGACAGGGGACAAAAGAGATTGTAAAAATTATAGGGGAATAAGTTTATTAAGTATACCAGGAAAAGTGCATGGTAAGTTTATTATTGAGAAAATTAGAGGTAAGACAGAGTAGTATTGCAGATGAGCAAGAAGGCATTAGAGTGGGTAGAGGATGTGTAGATCAAGTGTTTACACTGAAGCATATATGTGACCAGTGTTTAGATAAAGGTAGGGAAGTTTTCATTGCATTTATGGATTTAGAAAAGGATAGGGAAGCAATGTGGCAGATGTTGTAAGTGTTGTAAGTTAGTAAATGCTGTAAAGAGTTTTTATGAGGATAGTGAGGCTCAGGTTAGGGCATATAGAAGAGAGGGAGATTACTTCCCAGTAAAAGTAGGTCTTAGACAGGGATGTGTAATGTCACCATGGTTGTTTAATATATTTATAGATGGGGTTGTGAAGGAGGTAAATGCTAGGGTGTTGGGGAGAGGGGTGGGATTAAATTATGGGGAATCAAGTACAAAATGGGAGTTGACACAGTTACTTTTTGTTGATGATACTGTGCTTATGGGAGATTCTAAAGAAAAATTGCAAAGGTAAGTGGACGAGTTTGGGAGGGTGTGTAAAGGTAGAAAGTTGCAAGTGAACACAGATAAGAGTAAGGTGATGAGAGTATCAAACAATTTAGATAAAGAAAAATTGGGTATCACATTGGACAGAGGGAGTATGGAAGAAATGAATGTTTTTTTATATTTGGGAATTGACGTGTCAGCAGATGGGTTTATGAGGGATTAGGTTAACCATAGAATTGATGAAGAAAGAAAGGTGAGTGGTGCATTGAGGTACATGTGGAGACAAAAAAACATTATCAATGGAGGCAAAGAAGAGAATGTATGAAAGTACAGTGGTACCAACACTCTTATATGGGTGTGAAGCTTGGGTTGTAAATGCTGCAGCTAGGAGATGGTTGGAGGCAGTGGAGATGTCCTGTCTAAGGGCAATGTGTGGTGTAAATATTATGCAGAGAATTTGGAGTGTGGAAATTAGGAGGTGTGGAATTAATAAAAGTATTAGTCAGAGGGCTGAAGAGGGGTTGTTGAGGCGGTTTGGTCATTTAGAGAGAATGGATCAAAGTAGAATGACACAGAGCGTATAAATCTGTAGGGCAAGGAAAGCGGGGTAGGGGTTGTCCTCGAAAAGATTGGAGGGTGGGGGTAAAGGAGGTTTTGTGGGCGAGGGGCTTGGACTTCCAGCAAGCGTGAGTGAGCATGTTAGATAAGAGTGAATGGAGACAAATGGATTTTGGGACCTGACGAGCTGTTGGAGTGCGAGCAGGTTAATATTTAGTGAAGAGATTCAGGGAAACCGGTTATTATAGATTTAGATGGGCTTGAGTCCTGAAAATGGGAAGTACAATGCCTGCACTTTAAAGGAGGGGTCTGGGATATTGACAGTTTGGAGGTACTTTTAAACTCTTGTATCTGAGCACCTCTGCAAAGATGGTGATTATGTATGAATGAGGCAAAAGTGTTGAATGATGATGAAAGTATTTTCTTTTCTAGGGATTTTTTCTTTTTCGGTCACCCTGCCTCAGTGGGAAAAAAATTAGTATTATTACTATGACATTAAGACTAGAGGCCCACTCTTAGTGAACGAGTAACAAAGGCATGTTTATATGCTATGTAATGAGTTTCTTATAAAATTTTGAAGAAAATATCATAGACGGATTAATGAAAATGTCTATATTAACATACAATAGGACATTTAATGTGCCCAAGAGTGAGTCATGAACATATGAGCGGCCTAGGCAGACGTGTCTGTTACCAACGATTTCTGAGCAGATGTACGAAACCTGGGGGGAAATTTCACCAAAAAAAAAAAAAAAAAAAAAAGTGCTCGAAATCCGAACTGTACGAGTTCCGCACTGGCCGAAAACCAGGGGTCCACAGTATTATTATATAATTATTATTATAATGGGGAAGCACTAAACCCGTAGGATTATACAGTGCCTGTGGGAGGGAGGAGATGGAAGGTATTCAGGCATAATTTAGGGAACTGGAGCACAGACACAATTCCCTTGATCATGAGCCACTCACAAGTGTCATGGAACCTCCCTTGAGGGGGGGGAAGCTCACAACCTGAATTTTGGCTCGTATCCAAGAGCAAAAAATTGACCGAGCGACGGCTCATATCCTGAAAAACTAGCATCGTGGGGCACTCGTAAGCAGAGGTTCCACTGAGTACTGGAGTATGCAGCACCAGTATGGAACCCACACCTGGTCAAGCACATCAAGAAATTGGAGAA